TATATATATATACATAGCTACCTTATTCAATAAAAGTAAATATAAGTGGCAAATACCTAGCAGAATAAACTTATCCTGAATCTATATTTCAATTTCTGAAATGAGCTAAAAAAACCGAACTCCACCTCTAGTGATCTTTGAACAAATGCATTTTTTATTTCATCGTCAGTTGCATCATATGGAACTCCTAACACATCATAGTGATTTCGTTTTCTGAAAATTCCAGTACAATATAGCAACATCTCAGAACTTCTAGTGATAAATAGTGAATTAGAACTTTTATCTACGAAATTGATACATGAAATAACCACCAACAAAAAGAACATGCAAATCAGAAAAAATATAAATAACCTTCTGATATATGATGCAAAGCTTTTTCGGGTCATTCCGAATAATGCCCCTTTAAAACAGACACATGGCATAATAATTTTCATTGAAATCCCCAAGCTCTCTTCGGGAACAAATTCAGTAAGTGTGAATTTCAGCGTAAAATTCTTAAAATACTTTTTAACAAATTAAAAAAGAACTTGTTGTTTGTTAATTGCATTTTGGTACACTATCAAATATGGTGTAAGTAATACCGTTTTGAAATAAACAGTCAAGAAGGATAGTGAAAAAGAAGCAATAATTTTTTATAGCAGTTTCGAACACAACAAATTCTAAATAAGTGATAAAAAAGTATGCAATTTCAACGTCAAATAAATACCAAGTAGTTCTTTTTCAAAGAAATAAAAACATGACTGAAAAATTTTAATTTTCTCATAACTAAAAAATTTTAATTTGTCAATTTTTGTATTCTTCAAAGCACACAGGTACGTAAATTATTTACAGGGTTTAAAATTCAAAATAAAAAGTGAAATTACAATATTACAAAATATTTGTAATTACAGAAAATTGAAAATACATTTTACATGTTGATGAGGCTCAAACTGGAGAATTAGGCTCATGTTTATTAGTAGAAACTTGAAGCAAAGCTATGATACTTCGTGAGAGTAAAAATACACTAGAAATTTCTATATTCAAATTCTTTTAAAAACAAATGTCCTTAAAAATATCCACATCAATTTTATTTTTTAGAAAAAAATCATGAGCGAATTCGACATTTACTAATATCACCCGTAACTATCACACAATAAAATCCGCCTACGAATTACTTTCATTATCAATTAAACCTTTTCGACCTTTATTCAACAATAAACTTGATTTCGGAACTATTTTACTTTTAATTTCATTAATTCCTTCTGGAGAACCATATTCAGAGGTCAATTCAATTTCTATTTGTCGCTCTTCGCGCCCCTCTTTAACTGATTCATCCAAATACGGAATTTCTATAGGATTTGAAAATTTTTGCTCAATGAAATAGCCAACAGCACCAATTACCATCACAAATGGCATTACCAATATTCTGGAGTACCTAGCTGAAACTAATTTTCTGATGAGTTTACATGCCATAGAATACGTAAAAAAATTATCACCACTTTTTTATTAATTCATTTTTAAATACTAGATCGCCAATCAGATAATATAAATAATGCAAATGTTCTAAAATTTTGGCGACCCAACGAAATTATGATTTCTTTACACTAAAAAAAGCTAACTTGCTAATGTCGGTTTAAAAACAAACCTATCCATACTTGCCACATATTCAGTGAGTGATTTCGCGATTTTGAAATCTGTAATATATATGTAAAAAACAAAAAACAAATATATTACTGTTGGCTATCTTTTTATTTTTGTATCCATTTTTCTCCGTTTACACGTATAATTATTTTAAATATTATATCACGCCTAAATGTAGATATCATAATTCTAAATATAAAAATTTGATGAGTAAAATATTACTTGGATGTGAATCTGTGTATGCAAAACTTCGTCCTACTGCTCGTCAAACAGCTTCTGCACAAATTACAACTAGTGAATACATTGTAGTCGCATTTTGTAAACTAATCTATTTCACTTATTAATATAATAAATGCTAAGAAATTAGCAATTAAAACTTGTGCAACTATTTGTGAACGTATAAACAGGCAAATACAAAACACGTAAAAGAAAAGTGCCGACTAAAATTAATGAAGTTCTAGATTCATCGCGTATGTTCTTAAACATCAGAATATCTCATTTCTTTTCTGATCTAATCGCTACATAAAAAACTTCCTCTTAATACATGACTGTTGTCCTTAGCTAATTGAATCATTCTATGTCGTTTCTTCAGTTGCAATAGTCTTTTCATTATGAATTACATATTACATGAAAAAATAATTACTTATTATTAATTATTTTTTGTGAAAATGAAACAGAGTTAACCATTTTTAAATTTAGCAATTGGTTACGTGGAGTATATTTTGTTACTTAAATAAAATTTTATTTTGTTACTTAATTTTGTTTAATAACAAATTATTTAATAGTAACAAATTGTGAATGAAAATAATTTATGATTTAAATTTATGCTAATTTAAAAATAAAATTATGCGTAAATTGGTAGTATAACAGAGAAAAACATTTGTATTCGCTTACAGTACAGTTAATAATTGACGGTTGTGTCATCGAAATGTATTGTATAGTTTGACTTAGTTACTAGCGCATACTGAATAATTTGAACTTATACGGGAAATGCTGTACATATTTGAACATATTTTATATATATATAAATATAGAATTTAAATTAGGCATCATAAAATAACGACAGTACTATTACAGTTCATAAACAGTTTTTGATTTTTTTAATTTTATAATTTTTGTGTGGAAAAACATTTTGTTAACGTTTTGAACGTTTTGCTAACGTTTTTGAAACGTTTTGTTTACGTTTTATAACCGTTTTGTTACGTTTTGTTACAGTTAGAGAAACAACTGGCAGTCTTGTACTACTAGTAGGCTCACTTACAGATACTTTCAAAATTATTCTTAAACGAATAATTTATTATCTAATTGTGTAAAATATTAATCTTATTGTCTCAATGAATTATTATTCCAAATTATCCATGTAATAATATAGCAATGAACAGCCTAAATGTGATATATTTCTAATTTAATTTTAAATTTTAGGATGATGTGAGTTAATAGAGTATATCATACCTTCGAAATAATTTATTCAAACAATTTAAAAATTTATTTTTTCAAAAAAAAAAAAAAGAAAATTAGTATTCATAATTCAATAAATTACTGACACACTGAAAGAACTTGAATTTTTTCAATGTTATTGAATTAAGGCTTAGTTTATATTCTCGCTATACATTTTATTTAATATAGTTTCGAATTTTTCTTCAAGTTTTTTACGAATGATTTTCATAGTTGGTGTCAGTAAGCCATCTTCAACTGTGAACTCATCCTTGACCAGGTGTACATTTTTGATTTGTTCTAAGCTACTTAAGCCTTTGTTGCAACCAAAATTCCGTAATAAAGCCAAGAAATATCGTCGTACATTTAAATTTTCCAAAAATTCTTCCGCTGATGTTTGAGATTTTACATTGTAGTTGATGATCTTGAAAAAAATGATTATGATTAGCAGAAGTGATTTGGATCATTGCGATCAATATCAGGATAAATCAAACATTCTTAGGGTTTCAAAACTTTTCAATCAGATAATTAATAAAATTTGAACTCCCTTCAATACTTAGATAACTAAATGCAGAGATAAAGTTTGAAACTTTTTGTTCAATTACCTTCTTGTTCACCTTTTGTATTTCATTGTGAAGCTTTTCAATATCGACAACAACAACTGCCACTAAGAATGCATGAATGGCTGATCCATACACAAAAATCTTTGAAAATAAAATCTTTTTATGTTTAATTTCAAAAGTTTAATTTTGAATAGAATAGAAATTAATAACTAATTAGTACAAATTTTTTTTTAGATTGATCTATTAGTTTTATATTGATTCTCAAATTATAATACTGTATTTTTCACAAGGCTTACTTGTTTTACCAATGCGTGTTGCAAATAAATATTTTCAATTCGCTCAGGTGACACATAATCAGCTTGAGCTAATTTGAATAAATTATTTTTCCGGTCAATAATACGTAATGAACCATTGGGTAACCACATTCCAATGTCATTGGTATGCAACCAACCCTTAAAGTCATGAATTTAATTTAAATTTTCAAAAGTAATTCTCACAAAATGAACACAAAATAGCTTACAAAAAGAGACATTAATTAATACTTTATTGGATTATTATTAAATTTGAATTTATTTTTGTATTTCTCTGAGTATTATTACAGTAATAAATACATGCTATGAATTCAATTAATATATAAATTTTTTGTATTCAAAAAATGAATTTGTATTGATAAATAATTTTAAAAAAGTAATCGTGTAATATTACATTTATTATTTCTTTGATTGCTTTGAAAAAATTTGAGCTATCTCAGAGTCTTCTGTATGTTTTAGATAAAAAGTAATTGTTGCATTGTAAGTGTTATTCAATTTTGACTTTACAATTTGTTTAATTTCAATTCAAAATAAATGCAAACATTTTGCAAAGCAATAATTTACAGAACAAAAAAAAAGAAATGAATTGTTCAATGTGCTAACTTTTTTGCAAAAAGTCAGGCAAACTGATTTTTATTATTTAAATTTTATTTCTTGCAATGTTTGATTTCTTAATTTTAGAAATTAAAGAATGAATAAATTATTTAATATGTTAAATTTTGATGAAGAAAAGTCAGGCATAATAAGTTCTAATTTTTCAATATTTGTTTTTTACAATGTTTAAATTATACTTTTAGTTATTAAAATCAACCTCATCATCAATAGCTTGGGATGTAAGCTTAGGATTATTGAAGTAAGCTGTCATAAGACCTGCTCCTCGGAAACAAACTTCACCTACATCATTTTTTGCATCGTAGCCAAGTTCTTCAACACTCACTAATTTTATCTAAACATATCAAAAAACCAATTTTATTTTTGCCTTAAAATTTAAAAGCATTTTTTAAAAAAAAATGTAAGCAAAAGCAGAAAATGCTTACTTGGGCCCAAGGTGAAGGTCCACCAACATGACCAGATGCTGTATCAGCTGGTAATGATAAAGCACCTGCAGCAGAACATTCTGTCTGTCCATAACTTAAATTTGAATTAATTATTTTGAGTATTTAATTAATAAATTTTTTACTATTATTGAGTAAAAATGATAATATTTGTAAGCACAATTATCAGACTTTCAAGTTTTAGATGTCAATCGAAAACTTTTTCAAAATTAAATAATTAGCTAGTAGAGCCAAAAAAAAAGATTATTTAACAAATTCTAAACTAAACCAAATCTTTGAATTTTTTTAAAAGATTTATTTATTCAAAATTTAGTAAAAATGATAATATTTGTAAGCACAATTATCAGACTTTTAAGTTTTAGATGTCAATCGAAAACTTTTTCAAAATTAAATAATTAGCTAGTAGAGCCAAAAAAAAAGATTATTTAACAAATTCTAAACTAAACCAAATCTTTGAATTTTTTTAAAAGATTTATTTATTCAAAATTTAGTAAGTAAATCAATTTAACTGATATAAGTAGTCCTTCAAGTACTTTACCCTTCAAGCAATAAGCATCCATAAACAACCCGCGTGAAATTCATTACATTATCAGCTACCGGAGCACCACCAGTAGTTATCAGTCTTAGTTTTCCACCAAATGAAGCTCGGATTTTTCGAAATACCAATTTATCCCATATTGTGTTATGTTTTAATTTACCGTTAGCTAACTGTTGTAATTTTGACTAAAACTTAAAATCAATCATAATTTTGGTAGATCATTAATGAACACAAATAAACAAACCAAAAAGTATTATTTGTTCAAAACTTTGAATTTTTGCTTTTCATAGTACTACATTGTGAAAAAAACAAAAATTATTCTTAATTCTGTCCAAAAAAAAAAATTAAAATTAAAATAAAAGTAACAAAATAACAAATTTTCCTGCATGGCAATACGAAAAATGAATCGTTTAATAAAATTTTTCTTTTGTATGTTTTCCATGATAAGATCATGATAACGATTTAGTACTCTTGGAACTAAAGCAAGAATTGTTGGCTGCAATATCTGAATATCATTAATCAGATTTTTTGGATCTCCAGTGAATAAACCAATTTTTCCACCAACATAAATCATCAAAACCTGAAATTATACATTTTTAAATTTAAATACATTTATGAATATTCAAATAACATGTTATTAACTTAGTAAAATTAAGCATGAATGACAAAAGTATTCACTAACTTCAATTAATTGCTCATAAATATGTGCTGAAGATAAAAACGAAAAGTATATATCATTGTTATCTAATACAATGCCTTTTGGTGGCATTTTTAATTGCATATATATTCCACTCATAGCAGCTAAAACCGCACGATGTGATAATTGAACACCTTTATGAGTACCTGAAAATAATTTGGTAGTAATTTTAAAAAGTGTTCATTTCAGTACAACCAAATAATAAACAATATTTCAGTATTTTTAAAATTACTAATCAAAAATCATAAAAAATTATTAAAACTTTCTTGAAATGTTAATATTTTTGTTATCATTTTAAAGCTATCTTTCAGTAATTTATAAAACATTTTGAGATAATTTTGTAATTTAGAATAAATTGTAATTAGTAGCAAAATTAAAATTAAAAAATTTTGTGACAAAAATTTTTAAAAAATTACTCTAAATTGTGCTAATAGAAATTACTCTTCAGTGACAGTTTTCAGATGAAATGCTTTTATCATTTGTGGCTTATTTTAATTTTATTAAAATACTGAAATTTTTGCTAACAATTTATTAATATCAAAAAGGATAATCAAAAATGATAAAAATTATTGCCCGTAGTGCCACTCGTATAACAAATGATGTATACACTTGATGGTGATGGAGGGGTTACAGGTTTGAGATAAGTATTACCAAGTGATAACATTGAATCCCAATCATAAACCTGAATTTGAAAATTTAAATTTTGTAAAATCACTCATTTTTTACTTAAAAAAGAAATAAAATTATTCAAGCTAATATAATGAATTACTTAATTAATTAAATACTAAAATAATTTTAATTTAAAATTTTAAAATAATCCTCTCTGTATTTACAACAGCTTACTTTTACGCTTGAAGATTGTATAATTTTGCTATCAATTTCTTGCTTTGATCCTTCAAAAACAATAATTTGTTTCAAACATTTTAACAATCCTTGTTCTACTTTTGTGATAAAAGTATTAGCTCGTTCGTAGTTATCACAAAAGATTACTTCCAAATTACAGTCCTCAATTATGTCACTAAAAAATATTTGAATATCAAAAAAATATGCCATGTTAAGGTCAAATTCTTACATTCTGTATGCTATTTTATTTTTATTTTTACAAATTTAATTTCAAAACTGACGATTATTAACTACAAATTTCAGTTTCAATAAACGTTTCTGTTCATTAAACATTTTCAAAAATTTACCCTAAATTTAGTCTTTCTTAAGTAAGTCCAAAAATTTCAAATTTAAATATAATATTTGTTGTGATCAAGTTTTTTGATTATAATTAACTAACCAAAGAATTTTCCAATTATAGTTATGGTATAATGGTACTAATATGATTGAATAATTGATTAAGGCATATTGAGCAATAATATAACGAGTTGAATTATTACCGGCTAAACCTACGCGATTACTTTCACCTGCACCAATTCCAAGTTGTAATAATGCTGACCCAATTTTGTGTGATTCTTTAAATACCTTAAAGAAAAGAAATCAAAAATTAAATTTTTTGAGCTTTTTCATTTTGATTACAAATTAATTAATTGGTGAATAATATAATTAACTAATAATAGCTTGGAAATAAAAGAAAATTATTATTTGCTACGCAATTCTACACTGACAATCTTGACGTAATATTGTTTATAAACATCGTTGACATTCAATTAAACTTAAGTGAAAAGTTAGTTCTTCCTTGAAGGATACATCTGTTGTGAATGAAGATGCGATGAAACAAAAATTATAATCAGTTTGAGCAGAAGTGATTTCAGATTCTCTCTTGTTATGAGCATTCATTTATCTACTCATTGAATGAATAATAATCACAAGTTATAAACAATTAATTATCTACTTTAATAATAATTACAATAATAATTACAATAATAATAATAAATAATAATAATAATAATGAATATTATTAATTCTTAAAATGGTAGATGATAATAACCTGTTCATATGATACCCATTTGTATATACCATTTATTTTTTCACCAACGAAGTCGCCATTGTTTGTTATTCGAATTGCATGTTGTAACAAATCAAAAAGTGTTGTTACATTACTGTTAGGTGGATATTCCAGTAATTCTTCAATATATACTTTATAATTACAAAATTTTTATTTAAAAAAAAATTACAATAGTCAATTATGTTTTATAAAAAAGTTCTATTTAATTAAAGAAATTTAATTAAATAGAACTTTTTTATAAAACATAATGAAGCATATTTAATTAAAGAGATTATTTGTAATTACAACAAAATTCTGTACTGAAATAATATCTTTGAAATGGAGTTTGTATTACTTTTATGTGCTAAATTAGATGAATTTAAAAAAAATAAATAAATTTTTATATCATATTTAATCACAGTATCAGAATTAATTACAGAAACATTTAACTTTTTTGAAAGAGATTTTAATTTTTCTATCAATGGGAAGGATTAATAAAAAATATGCAAATATCTGACCATTCTCCGAAATCAAAATCGATTCATGGATGCGTTCAGGACCCGGGAGAACTCGAGAATAAGCCGGAATATTAGTTTGGTATTTAGTCGTCATTTTCTGGTAATTTTTCATTACTCAAATTGAAAAATATGCCAGTAAATAATTTGACCTGAAATTGTAATTCATCCGAGGAATTAAACAGGTTAATTGATAGAGAAATTATTACCTACCTATTCGACTGTGTTATACCAATTTTGTTACAATTTCTGTCAATTGCTACTAATGCATATTCTTATAATAAATAATAATTAATATCATAAATATGACAAATTTAAAATCCCAAATTTATGCATTTAAAATGCTATTGCACATTCTAGCTAAGTTTTTATAATACTTGCTAATATTTATGAGGAATTCACTCTATAAAATTGGCAAAATATTTACTTTAAATAATTTTTTTTAATTTCCAGATTTTATCGCACTCAAATAAATTTATAATGTAATGGCATTGGAATAAAGTAATGTTGCATGATGTATTATTGATTTGCTAAGTAAAAAAGTGTTGGATAAAATATTCAAAAAGACAGAAAGTGTACAAAAGATGCGGAAAGTCAAGTGAAAAATTTTTCAACTGGAAGTAAAAAAATACTTAAATCAGTGAAAGAAGCAATAGAAACAATAGTAACCTTGAAATCGAACAAATAACTGGTTTGAAGTAACGTTTACTCTAAAATTTCTGAGAAAACTTACTTATTAATTTGTACAAATCGATCATTATGTATTATTTTTGATTGAGAATGCGCATACTTATTTATCATCATTAGAATAAAGTAATGTTGCATGATATATTATTGATTTGCTTTCACTGATTATTGTTTTGCAATTTTCGCAGAGTTAATAAATTGCTACTTAAATAAATTTATCAAGTAACGGCATTAGTGTATAGTAATGTTGGATGAGATTTTATTCATACTTGCGAAAATTATTAACTATATGAGGATGTTGCGAATTACTTTACAAATATGAGATGTTGCGAATTACTTTACAAATATGAGATGTTGCGAATTACTTCAAAAATATGAGATGTTGCGAATTACTTCAAAAATATGAGGATGTTACGAGTTACTTTACAAATATGAGATGTTGCGAATTACTTTACAAATATGAGATGTTGCAAAAATTATTAAAAATATAAGGATGTTGAATGAATTTCTATTTATTTGTTGCGCTAATATTTTTAAATAAAGTCATGATAATAAATACTTTTAACATATGGTATGTTAGGATAAAATTTTTGTATTGAACGTACAGCTGTCTTGAAAATTGAAAATTTATTACATTTAATCCAATTATTTTAGTTAATTGAATTCAGTGCTTGCTAAAGTAACATTAAAATTAACTCGCAGGACAATAGGTCAAATTTTTTTTTTGATATTACCATAGTAAAATTTTTATAAACTTTTAAAATTATTACTAGTTTTACTTTTTATTGGACCTTTTTACTTGCTTCGTTTTTCCACCTTGCCTCATAAGACAAAGTTAGTTAATACTGTGATCTAGTAAATTACATGGATAATCAATCTAAAGGACCAGTGGTCAAGCAGCCATATAACAAATTGATCCTTCACAAATTACAAATTCTTTATTAATATGATTTCTTTCAATTTTAAATTTACTTTAACAAGCAAATTTATTAACATGAATTTGACAGTTTTCAAATAATTTTTGTGTTTCTATAACACTAAAAGAATCGGTTGACAAAATGCTAAGCTGATAGATTCATGCTCGTACTTCTTACATTTGGCTTATGTAAAGTGATTTTTAATTTCACATTGCCTGTATTAATGTATTCAAATTAAAGTGTGTTGAGTATAAATGTTCCGCTCTCTACTGGAATGTTATTTTCAATTACGTATGCGATTCTGATCACATGTGAATTAGCTTTTTTCAGTTTAGACTATTAATTAAAACTGTTTGCAACTGTTTCTGTTAACTGATCAAAGTTTATTTTACGTTTCATGACGTGTATAATTGGCGTGTCCAGTGACGTAATATTTGCAGAATTTATATAGAATTACTAAAGAGAATTTTGTTTTAAGTGCTGTCTTTTTGATTCTATTTTTAAAAATAACTCTCCAAAAATCTTTTATATAACTCTGAAAATAACTTCTCAACTTTTCGTTATTAGCATTATATCTTTCAATTTTTCTGAGACATAAAAATAAATACGATATAAAGAAATCATAGTGATGGAAGTTTGATCTTATCCAATAACAGATAAGGAAATATGAATTATTGCGTGTTTTCCATTTGTAGACATCAGAAGGAAATGAATTAATAACGTAGTATCAGTGTGAATATTGTTAAAATAATACAATGAAATATGTACTAAAAAATATTTCAATCAGTCTAATGCTAGCATCAGATGATTAGAAAGGTCTTACAAAGTCATAAATAAGACAGAAGAACTCTATTTTTGAGCCTTAACAACAAATCATCTACTTCGCTAAGTAACAAGGGAACACGTTAGAGGATTCACACGAAAAAAACAAACTCTAATACTAATTAATTTGTAACACTGATCCACGTAAGATAATTGAATACACACGCTGATTTTTGCATTTGAGCAAGCTTAGTCGAAATTTCATTCTAAAAATCGTGAAAAACAAGACTTCATTTTCTAAGACAAATCAGTAATTAAATTTTTGTAACTGTACAAAAATACTCGCCAGTAATGAAATTTTTCATACTCCATGAAATCAATCAAAAAGTTCGTCACATCAACGAAGCAAAACTTGCGGTAGTGTTGTTAAATTGATTACCGCGGTAGCAGTTGTCATTGAACTCTGACTTAGATCGTCTCACAAACGTAATAACGTAAATCACTTGACTGTAATTAATTAATCATTTCAAGAATCACCCCCATTCTAATATGTTGTAGTTTGTAAAATATTATTTATGCTACTTTTATCCTTTTATATGATAATTTTCTTCTTCTTCTGTTATAATCAAGGAGAATTATCTATTTGTTTATTTTTTGGCTTATTTATACTTCTGTGACATTTTCTACTCTTCAAACTTCTAGCCACTAATATGAATTAACAACTTGCAACTAATTATCTTGTTTCAATCTAAATCGTTAATCCATACATCAGTAAAATATTTTTTTATTTTTCTTAAAATTTCAAAATTTTATTCAGTTAGCAAGAAATTCATAATTCAATTTATTATTTTAATAACTTATTGAATTTTAATTTTCTCATTTTCTCAATCCTAAAATTAAGTATTAATAATTTGAATGAACAAACTTTTGACCCTAACAGAACAATCAATTTTCAATAATTTTTGTATGTATTTCAGGAAGAATAAACAGTAACAATGATGGAGATAATGAATTACTTTTTTACAACTCAAACAGTAATCCTTTTTGAGTGAAATGATCTACTGATACTAGCTTTGTGATGAATGAATGCTTTGAAGCGATATTTGAATCAATCGGGAAATACAAAAATGGCGTGGATAAATGATCTAAAAACGAAAGTATGAGTAGGTCGCAAAATGCTGACAGGAAGAGGGAAAATAAAGATGACTACAAAAATAATGACTTTTGGAAATAACGAAAGGAAAGAAAAACAACAAATACCGTCTACTTTGTGTGCGTTATTTTACGTGTTAAGCTTACTTAACTACGTATGAGTAACATATTAAGCATTCGGAATACTATACCGCAAAGTTGATTGGCCAAGAATCATCCTCACGTTTTGCAAGTAATAAGTGAGTTTTCAGAAAATAAGCCAAATTTACCATTGTTGTTGCGATTTTTTTAATGCATTATATTCGAAATTGTGTAAGTCATAGCTCACATTTGCTATTGTTAGAAATGAGAATCTAAATTTCTTCTTGAAAAATAATTCTCTCTCGAATAATTACTTCTCTTCCTATTGTCATTACAATAGCATCTAGTAAATATTCTCTTGCACAGTTTGCAATATTTGTAAATATATTTTAATTTTTTCACATTTTTATAATTAAACGTCTGAAGATAAAAAGTTAAAGTTCACTGCTGAAGTTAATTACTTCCAAAAAGCATAATTGTTTCCTTTAAACAAAATTAGCTTATTTTATTTTTATGAACTTCATTTTTGTTTTAGAAGCGCCACAGTGAAATATGTCATGAAAACTTGAGATCCTATCATTTTGCGATACATAAGCTACAATCCTATCTTCTTGCGATACATAAGCGAAAACGCATACATAAGAGATAAGCACACACAAAGAATATCACAGACATGCGAAACTAGGCACACATAAAGGTCATGACACATATGAGGGATTACACTTTCATACTGGACTACTCTCAAGCGGGATTTCTCTTACTCTTGTGTAAATTATTATTTTGTCTGTTTAGAGTGAATCTTGCGAATGCCGTGAAGAATTTTTATTCACAGAATATATTTACGTTCTTCTCAATGACATTTCACAGCATACGCAAGTTTCCTCCCATTGCTTG